AGGAAGAGCCTCTAAGAACAGGTATTCGATTAGTTCTGAACTTGGAAGCAGGTAAAAGATAAAGAACACTTTGCACTTAAGATGCACAGTATTTTTCTCTTTCTCATGGTCACATTAAATTCATTTGCATTCAGTGAGATGAGTGTTTACCTTCTTGCTGTAACTGGTAGGTTAATTCCCACACACAGTTCAAAGCTAAGTCAAATTTACATCATGTAGGACTACAACAAGTATTTATTTATATATATACACCTACGCACACACCTATGCATGCGTGTGTGTGTTTACATCAAGAAGATCATCTCTTTCAGCTGCTATATCCTTAACTTGGGACATCCTCTACCTTCTGGAGTATTCAAAGTGCATTCTTCACTTTAAATTAAGTATGCAATGGGTTACAATCCCTCCGTTGTGTTCAAAATGGTTGGCTTACAGTCTTTCCAGTGAAAGTGTGTGATACTCAGTCAAACAAGCAAACCCAGAAATGGGAATCACTTTTCATTACATTCTCCTTTGCATCCCATATGGGTTCTCAGTGTTCTTATCTCTCAAAATGTTCTATTGCTGGGGAAAACCAAAAACCAACAAAAAACCAAACCTCCCCAGGCACAATGAATCTACACACAGTATGCATAACTATTTCTAGTAGAAACACATACATGAGAAAAATACATGTAAGTACTTCCCCGCTCCCTCCCTGTAGAAAAGGAAAAAGATGATCAGCAAAAAGTGATTCCAAATTACAACAAGTATTTGTGGCTTTTAAAGGTCACCTAAGTCAACAAGCTCCGGTTAAGTAGCTCATGTTGACAGCTCAGGATATTCAAATTTTCTCTTTATGGAAAAATCAGGTACAGCAGAGGCACTGGTAATAATACCTGTCTCCAGCAGTGCCTCACCAACGTCTCTCAACCCTGATCCGCAGGAACCACCTGGAAGGTTGAAAGAACGTATCGTCCCCATTACCCATTGAAGCTTTCAGCTTCCCCCATCCCCAGATTACTACATTGGAGGACAAAGCGTAGCGGAGGTGTTATTATGCAGACTCCTGTCTCCAGAGAAGCACAGTAAGATTTCATCTCCATTCATAGAAACCAGTGAACAGTATTTCAAGATAACTAGAAAATACCATCTGGCCTATGGGCGGGGGGAAAGAAATGAAGAAATTTTTTTCAAAATTCAACAATGGCTCAAACAAGAAGTTATATTAGAAATGCATGTTGATTTATAGAGAAAATTAATTTCTACTGTAAATATCACAGATTTCACTGAAATAAGAAAAACATTTCTAGCAGTTTAAGCACAGTTAATCAAATCAAAATCAATCAAAACCATTCGGTGTGTTAGCTGACCTCAGCCAAGTGATGCTAACCAATTAAATGACGCTCGTAGATGACAATGACCAGTGATGCATCCTTCCAAAATCTCAATGCTTTTTCTTTTCATGAAACCATCAAAATAACTCACAGTAAAAGCAAAGTTCTGGAGTTTTCTAAATTTGAAGAATTAAATATTCTCAGTTCCTATCAAATCCACTGTAACTTATTATACAATTCTTCCCCCCAAAATTAGAAGCCACATTAAGAAGCCACCAAGTAAAGCACCAGCATTCCAACAAGATCAAGAGGCCTTTAAATGTAAAGCATTTAATTCATTACTCTGCCTGAATCTTGGCAATTAAAAAATAAAACACACATGCACACAAAGCTTTGATATTAATATGCATATTTGACAATCACTACCCAAGCATTTTCACATTCGAGCACTACACAGAAGTAAAACAAAATGCACTCTTACCGCTGCAACTGAACAGCTCAAACTTTTAAAACTTTTTTTTTTTTTTGATGGTGCCCATAACAACCCCAGGAAAAAGTGATTCTAAGACTATAATTTGCACTTGGGTGCTTTAAATCACAGTCGAGCAGACAGAACATTAAGAATGGTATGGTTTTTATTTTCTACAGTGGTTTTATTGACAAGCTTATTTTCTTGTAAAGTTTGAAAAGCTAACACTACCTGTCCACATAGAAGGGGAAACAAAACTTGGTCAAAGTCTGTAGAACTTCCTGTGGAGAGAAAAAGAGATAATTTATACATCTGTTGGGACCAATAAATCTAATATTAACCACATCACACAATTTCACAACTTTGCCCTGAAGAAATAAGAGACAGATGAAGAAATATGGGCTTTATCAATTACATGGAAGGAGTACCAGGCAGTCAATCATGTGAAATAATAAACATGATCAAACTTCATTAAAAATGAAAAATTAATCAAGATTCACACATGGGCAGGCAGCAGGAGCCATCCAGCAATTCTCCAAAGAGTAGGAGGAGGTTGGGTTGTTGAGTGTTAACACCTCTCTCGGGACAATCTCTACCCTGACCATATGGATCATAGTGAATAACACCAAACCACATGGGCTTGGCCTGGCAGGACCACTTCTGCTGGCACAGCTTTTGACTGTTACCTAGGAACAGAGGTCTGGGGGATTAGAGACTACTTCCTAACATCAGCAAGATAAATAACAAAAGATAAAGCAAATAGCTCTCATAGCAGGAA